GCAAGGGTAAGGCTTTTAATGATGAGGTAAAATACTAAAAGCTGGTGAAATTATGCAAATCGCTTCAGGCCCTCCATCCTGTATGATTAATAAATAGCCACCTAGGAACTCAGCCGTCCTCGCCGACGTGGCCAAGTCGCAGCGTCGATTTCCGAATTGCCGCACGATGCCGGTGCGTCGATTTTACTCGTTTTGGCTTTGTCAGCAGATGACTCAGCTCTCAGGGTTCTCCGATCAGCGATCAGCTAGCTCTATTCTGACATGCAATTCGTAGCTGTGCCTTCATGCATTCTTGAAAATATCATATTTTCTCTTGTAGCTTGGTGTGATTTTGCAATATAGAGCATATAAAGCATAAAAAAGCTACTCATATAACATAGTTACCATGTGGGAGGATTATTTTTCGGTTCAGATTTTTTTCATTATCTTAAGAGAGACTTTGGAAAGTGCTATTATTGTCTCGGTGCTACTTTCTTTCATTAAGCAAAATTTTACAACTGTTGATCCAGTTACGGGGCATTCTCAGTTGAATGTTGATCTTGTAACGTATAGATCTTTGAAAATGCAAGTTTGGGTCGGTGCTCTTGCTGGCCTTGCAATCTGTATGGGTCTCGGGGCTGTCTTCATTGCTGTCTTCTATCTTATTGGAAATGATTTATGGTCTTTTGCAGAACGTATCTGGGAGGGACTCTTTAGTATATTATCGGCTGTGATTATCTCATTCATGGGTCTTGCATTGTTACGTATCAACTCTTTACAACATAAATGGAAGTGGAAGCTAAGCAATTCATTGAACTCCCAACATGAGCAAGCTTTACTGGAACATGTTCATGATGACCCAATGGCTGAAGACTTGACAAGGTATGTTTCGCTTAAAATCAAGATTGATAGATACCTAAAGAAGTATGCATTGGCTGTTCTTCCCTTCATAACGACTTTAAGAGAAGGTTTGGAAGCTGTTGTGTTCGTTGGAGGTATCGGTGTTAACCAGCCAGCAACATCTTTTCCTTTAGCCATCATCTTTGGTGGGTTGGTTGGAGTTGCAGTTGGTCTCACATTATACAAAGGTGGTAACAAGATGTCGTTGCAGTACTTCTTAATCATGTCGACGTGTTTCTTGTATATGGTTGCAGCTGGATTGATTTCCAGAGGTGTTTGGTTCTTGGAGCTAGAAAAGTTTGTTCAAAGATGTGGTCAAGATACTAGTGAATCCGGCTCAGGTCCTGGATCTTATGACATTGCATACTCAGTTTGGCATGTGAACTGTTGTAATGGTTTGACTGATGGGGGTTGGATGTTGTTTAACGCTTTGGTTGGTTGGACAAATTCCGCAACTTATGGTTCTGTCATATCATACATTCTTTACTGGATTTTCATCATTGTACTTTTGAAAGTTAAATCACAAAGGGAGACTGTTGGATACTTGCCATATATTCCTATTAGATACCAGTTGCATAGCATCAAAAAGAGGATTGCGTTTGACAGAATCTTGTTAGATGATATAATCAATGATTACAATGAATTGCAAAGTAATGCATCTATACACGATCTTGACAACAGTGGCGAAGAATTAGGGATATCAAACTCGGATGAAGCTACAACCCTCTTGGGTTCGAGGAGTTAGGGCACGCAGTAAAGTCTAAACACTTTACGTATGAATGTACCCCATGTATTATTGCCCGAAAATGGCACGTTTTTTTTTTCTCTTACTGATGAAAAGGTAGACCTTCAATAAGAGATGTTATGTAATTTATAGTGATAATAATATCATACCCTGAAAAAGTTAGGTTTTAGGTGGTTAGAGCTGTAAAAAATACATGTAGAGTTATATCAATTACGACGAAGTAATATAGTTAGATGAAAAAATAAAATTAGTGAATAGAGGAAATAAAAAAAAAGCAAGCGAACAGAAATATAGAAGATAGCTTGCAAATAAGTTGAACATTGTTTCTAAGATGATATCGTAGGAAAAAGAAAAAAAAGTTAATGTAATAAAAACGATAGCAATTGAGATGAATCAGTGAAATATTTGATCAGCAATACAACAACAGCACACTTTAGATGATTCGTGTGCGTTGTGAACAAAGTGAGTCTAAGAAAAACAAGAAAAATATCGGCATCTCTCCACACACAAAACGTTGCAGACACGATGGAATTGTGATGGTGATGGCTTATCTGCCAATCAATAGAGTAATCTAACAGGTAACATCATGTCAGTTGAATCCAGTGGAAGTTCAATTAGATCAAGCCTTCCATAAATCCATATGCTGGGAATTCAACTAAACCAGTCAAGCAAGTGATCAGCTCGTCATCCTTAGTGTAGGCTCTAGCCACAACACTATACTTTCCAGGTGGAACTTCGTTTGGAATTTCAACTTCCTTTGTCAATTTGTAATAACCTTTGGTGATTGGGCACTCCATATCAACTTGTGGTAATTGCTCGCAAATATCGTAGGTTTGGTGTAATAGCTTGATATAACCATAAGTAACGTCGATATCAACGTATGAGCCTTCGTCAACATCTTCAGATAACAGTCCTATAGCTGAAATGGTTAAGTTTTGACCACGAACTGGTGGGTTTGGAGAGAGGTCAACTAAGCTCAACTTTAACAATTGAGGAGTGGACACATCACATTGTTCAATAGGTGAGTGACCTGGAATTGGTTTGGTATCTGGTCCTGGGAAGGACGACTTGAAAGGGTTTAAAATAGATAAGGAATATGCTGGGGAGGCCGCAAGAACGGCAAATGATAGTTTTGTCAATGCAACCATGTTTAAAATATAAATTGTGGTATATGCTAGTATGTTACTCCTTATTTGAGTGAAGTTTAGAGTTCTAGGAGTAGTAGATGGTATTATGAGAATATGAAACCACTAGAGAAACGTTTTGTATAGCAGCACAGACTGTATTGCTACTCCATTAGGAATGGACGGCAACCATCAAAGTGAGGCTTTTGGTGAGATGCCAAATTGGATATTCTCAGTTTCCGGTTTTGAGTGAGTGCGGCTGGGAGGCAAATGTATGAGTATGCATGTTTCTGGATCTGTGATTTCTAAGATATTCTTCTTCATATCCTCAGTGGCTATATATTAAAACTCAATTGTAATATTGCGAATAAACCATCCAAACCCAAACTCAAAACATACGCAGATATAGTGCAAATAAATCATATTCAAAACATACACAGAAGTCAAGCAACTTACAGCCTACTGCTTCTGCTACTAAATTGATATTGCTCAAATGATATGAATTCATTTTTTCAATCTGAAGTAGTATATACAATATATCTAGAAGCCACGCAACGGGTTAGAAACGAAACAATTCAAATAAAGTGGGATGGTTGAATTCGGTTGAATTTGGTTGTTTTTCTTTTGGTTTTTGATGGTTAGGCAGCTTTCTCATCAATACTCAAACTTTTGTCACTGCTGCCTTCTATGTGTGATGTAACTGATTCAAAAGATAGTCACTTTATGCACTGGTCTTGCAGCTAGTTGTATACTCAGTCAAAAGATAGCTGACCAAGGTTTCCTTCTCTGTGTTGGCTGTTTAAAAAGTGAGAGACATTCGAGCTCAAATAAAGTTACCCTTTTTCTCCCCCTTTTTTGTTGGAGTGCTTCTATCTAAGTAAGATTCAGTGATTGAACTGTCCGTTCAACTAAGAAATAGTTTATAGTATCCTAGAACCCATATAATACGTTTGTAGATTATCCTGAACTTGAAGATAGTTTCAGTCTAAGGGACTTTTTGCTTTTCGACTGCGGAAAATTGCAGTAGTATGAGAGCTAATATCTTAGTTACAGTATTGATAAATCTCACACCCGAACTCAATGATTTTTATGATAAATCAGAAACATAGTTGGAGAGATATCCAGAGACAGGGCTTCTCAAAATGAATGGACCTAGTAGGTCCTTGACTACTTAAAGGTAAGTTCGAGATTCACTTACTCAATATGTACAAGAGCCTTCTTGTGATAACTTCTTCGCGATAAGTACTCAGGATAAACTCTTGAAAATACCCCTTATAATGATGGTGAACTTTACAATGCGAGTCATTTGAGTCCTGTTGAATAGGAGAATCGTCCTTATTGTAAGTATTCCTGCTATATTTCATAGTCTATGAAGGCGTTACCATTGTCGCAAACCTTTCATATTAACGATCATCATTAACCCCAAAGAAAAGGCCTTGATAAAAGAAAAAGACAACAGATATATTTTGGTTGAGGTTGAAGACACCTTGGTCCATTCAGTAGAATAAGAATCTTGATAGCAATTATGATGACTCGTATAGTCAGGAAGTCACTTAATGAAGTGGGAAAAAGAGTCTCTCTTTCACACTTGACGGAGTAAAAATGTTTCACTAACTTATTTTGAATATTATTGTTTTTACTTGATTTATATTATAGAATCAACCTTGTAATATTAAGTTCACCTAGCGTTCTAACTTGACAAATTGCTAAGTATGCTATATAACTATAAACCTACCTATCCTTATCAGCAAAAACATTAAACATTTGGAGAGTTTCTTTTTGAGTTGTCATGCCCTTTGTGAGTCAGTTGAAGATTTAGTTTCGAGTTTGATTGCCTACAAGCCTTTATTGATTAAATATCTTGATAGAAGCAAGTCCATTCATCCAATTTGAAAACTCAGCATGTCCTTATGTCTTTTGAACAATGCTGTATCTGACTCTAAAGATAGGTAGAGACAAAAATTCGACTCACTGTCATTTTTGACGTTATTTTATAGTTATATGAATCCACCCATTTAAGAGAATAAGTATCCCAACAACTACAATATGCATTAGGTGAATCAAAACATCAAAACGTCCTAGTGCTTTAGAATTTTCTTTTTATATGAAGAGACAGCCACTTTCATAAAATTTACTAAATTGCTACATTTCTTTATTTACCAAAATTTTAACATCAGAATTAATCCCAAAATTACCGAAATTTTTTGCTTGCACACATAAGTTTCCAAAGTTTTCAAAAAATTAAAAAATTTGCTTTCGTGGCCCAGCTGGTTAAGGCGTCAGTCTCATAATCTGAAGATCGCGTGTTCGAATCTCGCCGAGAGCACTTTTTTTTTTTACTTTGATCTTCTGATACAGAATCTTTCAAAATGCATGCAATTAAATTAAAAAGGGAATCGGAGAGGCATACAGTCAATGCTATTAATATGCCGCGTATACAAACTATACAAGTTCTGGACCTGCCTAATAAGACGATTGTAAATTCATTAAGGCATCACGAATCTGATTTTTGTCAATTAGTCTATATTCTTCAGGCACTAGCTTGCATATTCTCTGTAGCTCGTGCAAGCTAGCCTTGAATTTTGGCTTAACATTACTCTTATGCATAGCTAAGCTGGTGAGAGCTTCTGAAACCGATGAAGCAATTCCCTGCTCAATGATCGGGGAATTTTCACAAGACAAAATCATTTCTTTAAGTAACTGAGAAAGATCTTCACTGTTCCAATACTTATACGATTCGTCCGTCTTCAAGGCGTTCAATGCCACTCTTATGATCTCAGGTGTCAGATTTTGGTCGTATAAAAGCATGAGATCAACAAGTTGTTTGATCTCCTTCACAGAATGAGGTAGATAGTTATCCAAGTAGCTAAAAAAGGGGGTAAAAGTTTCAGGGGTAGGCTTCAAGTTGTAAAGTAGATAGGTTTCAGGTAGCTTATTATCATCAATCAAGTTTCTAAGTACAGAGTAGTATTCAGCTGTTACTTTTGTCTCTTTGACATCATAAAGATCAACTAGAGATGCCAGAATTTCTTTTGATGTCGAATAAAATCCAAACGAAAGCAAGCTCCTTATCATGCAATTCATCAATTGAGCATCATAGAAGTAAATGCCAGTCAAGTTACAAACCTCAAAAGTTCTCACTGTAGCCTCAAAATTATCACTTTCACTATATACCCTAAAAATATGTTTTAAAATGCTTCCTGTAAGTGAGACATCTTTATCATTGAAAAATCGTATCACGTCATTTAATTCTTCTTCAGTTGATGTACTCTCCAAAATGAGGTTGGAGTATCCACCAGAAACAAGATGCTCAGAAGGAATGTCTTTGAATGCGTATATCAAAGCTTCAACTACCTCTTCTTTCAGTTTGATTGATTTTATAAACTTGGTGTACATTTTAGCTTCTGCCGGGGTCAATCCTTTTCCAAGCTCGATCAAATCGGAGAAAAATTCCCCCAGCAGGTTCTGCATCTCTGTATATGAGTTCTGTTGGTGCAAATATTCAAGTACCTTAGATATTGCATAATTATGTTCGTGTCGCCTTATTTGCAATGGCCTCGGACTCTCCAAAGAAATATACGCCTCGAGAAGGGCCGGCAACCGAAACTCTTGTCCACGGTTAGCTGCTCCCAGTTCCATGATGAAAGCTTGATACGCCTGACTATCTTCCACGGTTACTCTTAGAAGTTCAGATCTGTTCCTTTCGATAAATTTGTCTACCCATGTGGAAGTACCCAATTTATACCTCAATGGGATCTGAATCGATGTTGGCATCGATGAAAACGTATAAAACTGTTGTGCTATTTTGGGAAGTGAAGAAATTTCAGAGATATCATAGTGCGGCATACGACTACTTACTTCCCCCAAAATCTGCTTGATTTCTTGGTTGATGTTTGTGTTCTTATGATCTGTCTTATAGATTGAAAGTGAACTAGTGATGGAAGATCCAAACTTCTTGACGACTCTCCTCGTGTAATTAGCATCAAAAACTGGTTTGACAGACCCTGTGAGCTGCAGCAGAGTTCTTGTCCAGGACATATTGTTTACTAGGAGTTTTGGATCATTATTTGGAGCAGGAAATTTGTCATATTATACTCTTGAAATATGTCAAGTTTCCATACCTATTTTAGCAAATAAGGCCCCAGCCACACGTTTGGTGCAAGGATGATTAACGTTCAGCCACCGTGGCGGTGCAAAAGGAGCGAATCAGGAGGTCACCACCTTCTATGACCAGTTTTGCTTTCACCCTTGGAGCAGCGCAACATGGCAAGGTCTGACAACCAGAGTACACCTGGATGCTGACGCTGAAAACTACTACAACATTGCAAAATACGTTTGAACTGAAACTTTCTACCTCAATTTGTCTTCACTCATAGACTTAGAACATCTAACACCTACTCAAAGGAAAAATAGTTGTTCAATCTTACAACCTCAAAGCGCCGCTTATTTTATCTTTTCTTCCGCTAGTCCATTTGATACAAAACCTACTAATATAAACTCCCATAGAGATAGCCGTCTTCAAAGATGACCTCCAATAAATTTCCTACATCCCCATCGATGAGAGCTCCTAATTCTCCCAGACCACAGGCTAGACAGACGTCAATTGTTGAGATGCTATCAACACCACCACCATTAGACTATCCTTCCGAGTTGGGTTCCATAGATGCGTATATGAACCAGCCAATGTCTCCAGGAAATCAGTCTTTCTCTTTGAACTCTTCCCTTCCATCTGGTCAACAACAATCCCTATCAAGAAACCCTTCAATCTCATCGAATGCTTCGTCCTTCATGACTGGCACCTCAACAGAGTGGCAGGATATTCCGTTAAGTGAATTGGTTGAACAAAACAAATTGATCACCATCAACTCTAATGTGTCGGTTGAACAAGCTTTTACAACCTTGACTGAACATAATCTAACATCTGTTCCTGTGGAAGAATACCCTGAAGATCCAAATTGCTTAACATTTGACTATACCGATTTAAATTCGTATTTACTTTTGGTTTTGAATAAGCTCAAAGTAGAGTCATCCTCCTCAATTAACTATGAACCGAAAGAGGAAATCCCAGAACTGATAATGAAGGCTCAAAAAGGAGAGCAAGTTCCAGTTTCTTTTGTTATCAAGTTGACAAACAAAAATCCGTTCCTCAAGCTAACGGAATCTGACACCTTGGCAACCGTTGCAGAAATTTTAGGTACCGGTGTTCATAGAGTCGCTATAACGAAACAAAATAAGCTAACTGGTATCTTATCACAAAGAAGAATGGTGAAATATTTATGGGATAATGCTAGAAGATTCCCATCTATGGAACCTCTGTTGAATTCATCGTTAGCCAGTTTGAATATTGGCTCATCTAATGTTGTTACCATATTTGGAGATCAAATATTGATTGAAGCTTTGGTAAAGATGCATGATTTGATGATTTCTTCATTGGCCGTTGTTGACAGAAATTATAACTTACTAGGTAATATTTCAGTCACCGATGTTAGACTAGTTTCTACTTCATCTAAATCTGACCTATTGTACAAATCATGCCTCCATTTCATATCGGTGATTCTAAATGATAGAGGTTTAGAAAATGGTAAAGATTCATTCCCAATATTCCACGTTACCACATCATCTTCGTTTGGTAGAAGTATTGCCAAATTGGTGGCAACAAGAGCACATAGATTGTGGATCGTGAAGCCGGAAGTTTCACCTTCCAATATTGCCCCAGCATCACCAGTTGTTGAGAATAAAATCCTTCAAACTCCGTTACCTTCGTCATTACCAATGCATTCATCTCAAGCTTCCATATCATCTCAATCATCAACAGGTTCATCATCTCACTCTACACCAATTTCATCTCCTGTTGCACCAGACAAGGGTGAATCTAGATCTTCTGGTAAGCTAGTTGGTGTTCTATCACTTACAGATGTCTTGTCAATATTGGCAAAGACACTAGGTAAGGATCATATTCATCCTTCGTTGGCTAGAAAGCAAAGAAGAAGGTCGAGTAGTTCTAGTAGCAGAACCAACTCCTCGTTGGAACAGTTTAGAAAGAGCATCAGTAATGCTAATGATAGACACTAGGATTGAATTGTCTAGCTACGTTTGTTGTTTTTGTACCTTTCTTAGCTAAATACTGTAAATAGCACTTTCAATGCTGTCTTTCCACGCTTTTTTTATATCAGTTCTGATTATTATTAAGACATACAATTTTTTTTATCCCTTTTTTTTTTTTCTTTTTAAACTTTGTAAATTGATAACTATACTCATATAATCCTTATAATGCGTAGTTAGTCTCTGTTTATTTCTACTCTTGGTGTAGCATGCAACCTCAACTTGCGTTTATAGTCAAAGTGAAATTGGTAAAGGCAATTTCAAGTCTTTTGGCAGCAAATTATATGATAGATGACGCAATCGCTCCGGCGATTATGCTTGAGCTATAATTAATGGATCATATACACTTTATAAAATACATAGAGCTAATATACATTTGAAGGTGGTTTGAATTTTTTTGACCTACTATCAGACACATCTTCAGCTTTCCTTTTGGAGTCACTCAGGTTCAGCAAAGTCCCAATTTTGTTCTCTTGCCCATTGATCTTGGGGCTCTTAGGGATTCTGGTGAGATTTCCAACTTCGTTCAATGGCTGATGTAACTTTAAAGAATCTTCTTTATTACTCCCCAATATTAATTCAAGCTCCGATAGTAAATCTCTTGTTTGTTGTAGTGATTTGAGATTCAACTGCTTTTTCTGCTCAACCTCTCTATTTTTAATGTCGCTTTCCAATACATTGATGCTAGCGTTGATTTCCTTCAACATCGATGCGGTATTCGCGCGGTATTCATTAAGATATACGCTTGATTCAAATAGGTTTTTCTGAGCTGCACTGGAAGCAGCTGTATTCTCAGAAGCTTTTTGCAATATTTCATTTGCAATTCCCAATCGAGCACGCTGATAGTTCACATATCCAACACTAGAATCAATATGATTGTCGAAGCGTGATGTGGTCTCAAAAACGTTTGATGACAAGGTACTGCAAGAATTGGCGAGAGATTCGTTCAAGCTTGAATCTTCTTTAGACCATTTCCGTTTCTGACTTTCTAACCTGCTTCGTGTAAGACCAATTACTTTGCTGGATGTATCTTGAGCTATATCACCAAGTAACTTTGAAAGTTGTTCATCCATTGATTTTTTGAAATCATTTATTTTGGACATATTACTTTTCAAAGCTTTAATGGCTAAACTTTCTGCTCCATTGAATAGCTGTGATTCAATATAATTCGAAAACTCGGTATTGTTCTCTTTCATTTTTCCTGTCAGTTGAGTAGCATCACTT